TTTCCTCTTCTTCTTCTCCTCTTCTTCTCTTCTTCTTCTCTTCTTCACTCTCAAGAACCCTAACTCTTTCTCTTTTAAAATGGGATAAAAATGATCCAAAATCAGCCTAACACACAATATAACCTCAAAAGAAATGGCTAGGGAAAAGACCAAAATGCCCTTAAAATTTCCGGTCGGATTCCCTGCCAACTTCCCAACTTTGAATGGTCATAACTCGCTCATACGAACTCGGAATCGAGCAAACTCAGTGGCGTTGGAAAGATCATTCCACAAGCTTCGCAACCATAACTGGAACTACTCCTCACTCATCCTGAGATAGGAAATACGACTGCTCAAAGTTGGCCAAAAATCACTGATTTCCACACTTAGCCAAATTTTCCAGATTTTGAATTTTTCCAAATTTCCAGATTCTGGACTTAGCCAAATTTCCAAATTCTGAATTTTTCCAAAATGACTACTTCCAATTTCAAGCTTCTTCATATTCATTTTAAATTGTCGGATGTTACAAGAGTGCATTGGAAGAAATGATTACCAAAAACTTAGGCTAAAAGTAGAAAATTTTATTAAAGTAGATTCAGTCTTTCAGAGAATTCTGAAGTATAGAAATTTACCTAATCATCTACTACTATTACAAACAACAAGTAGATTCAGTCTTTCAGAGAATTCTGAAGTATAGAACTAGGTAAGAAAGAGACACACACACAAAATCCATTTCTACTAGTCAGTTCAATGAGGGGGAGTGTGCAGCATCACAAGATCTAAAACTTCCCAAGTAAATCCAAGAATGTTCTGTATTATACTTCCTATTCACACCAAGTAAAAGCAAGGGGAAATGGAGAAATTTGAGGGAGAGAGCAGTGATAAATGACAAATGGAAGAAATGAAAATGAATGAAGAAAAACGTAAGCCTTTGACGATGTGGGCACTTAAAAGAGTAACACGCGACATAATTAATGTGAAACTGAGCTCCTTTGGTCATCCACAAGACCTAAAGCTGTAGACCAAATCAGTCAATTGCCAGATGCTCTTTTCCTTCACTCTCTTATACCGACTGATCAGACGTTTGTAATGGATATATGATCCCGTTGGCATAAGAGAGAGAATGTTATAAATGAAAAATGGAAGAAATGAAATGAATGAAGAGAAACATAAGACCTTGACAATGTGGGCACTTAAAAGTGTAAAACGTAGTATAATTAATGTGAAACTCCAAGAGCTCCTTTGGTCGTCCACAAGACCTAAAGCTGTAGACCAAATCAGTCGATTGCCAGATGGTCGTCCACAAGACCTAAAGTTGTAGTGACTGAATCACTTTTCGTTTGGATCATTACTCATGAAATGGTTTTCTCATGTAAAGATTGCCATTTCTAAACAAAACCACAAACAACACTTCTAATTAGCATATGCCAGCAAAGTGAATACAGAAAATGTTTCATAAGAAACCAAGATACCATAACATTTGGTTACCACAAGGGTAATTCCAATAGTAATTAGTTAAACACTACATAGAGAAGTCAAAGATTCCATGAGTAGTTTATCAAAAACTCAAAATATATAAGGCAGCATTTCTAATATCTCGAGACAGGAAACTACTAGCAGTGAACTCATGCAAAGCTCACTCCTGGAAGTTAATCGCAGCATTGGTGGACGATCTTGGACAACCTAACAATTTGTCGGCCAATAGAGATAAATGTTGGGATAGACAGTTCATTGAACATGTCTCGCACCTTCTTCTCTTTGATATGATAATGACGAAATTCTCCAAAACCGGTGCATTCAATAACAGAAATTCTGAAAGTTTGGTAACCTTTTCAAAGCCCCTTTTGACATGATCTTTCCAGCACGCATCTGAGGAGATGACAATCTTAACCTTCTTGAGGTTGTGAAACTCTACACTTGAAACCCCACTCAGCAAATCCATATTATCTTCTTTGGCCAAATCAAGTAACTCAGAGTTGCAGCAGAAATTGTAGATCGGGAAATCATCTAACTGGAGACAAAAAAAAAATATAATCAGGACCAAATGCAGGTCAGATTAAATGTGACAAACACTTCAACAAAATGAAAAGATGTAAAAAGAAGAGATAAGTTTCAGGAAGTTTACCAGCGTATATTCCAATTCTATGCTGATTGTTTCCACATGTGGCGAGGCTCTCAAAAGACCAGCAACTCCGTACATACTAAACGTTGTCATATGCAACATCAGCGTTAAATATTTGCAATTCAATTCTGAAATGGGCGACCCTTTGAACTGCAATGTGCACATGACCTGGTGCAATAATCCCAACGAAACTAGTAAATAATGGAGAAAACAATTACAACAAAAGGGAAGTACTTCACAACAGACAGATAGTACTTTGACAAATCTAATTGTCTAAGCACAGCTCTAAGAAACATCAATATAAGGACTTTCGAGTTAAAGACAAACCTGTGTGAACCAAGTTCCAATTGTTAGATCAGTTGCATAACATAACTTTTGAAAATTATCTTGGACGAGGGTATAAACTACTTGATGATAGTCACGGCAGCAGTCTTCCACATAAGTACTTGGAATGCCTTTGATACAGGCAAAGCTGTAAATGAGCTTAGCATTAACTACAGAAGACACATCAATAAGCCTACACTTGAGATCTTCTCCTGATATTGCCAAATGCTGAATATACGGGGCAAGAATTTCTAAGTCATCTCCATTTCCACCCATCCGAACATAATCTTTCAACCTAAGTGTCTTCAATTTTAGGGAATTAATTGCCAGGCGATGGAAACCAGTATAGCTATATAATTCCATTGTTTCCAATGCAGGACAGCCTGACAATAATTTCACCATTTCATCATCGGTTAGCATCAAATGCCCCAACTTTATACTCTTTAGAGAGTTCCACGATATGACCGCGTTATTAAAGCCACAATGTTTAACATCTAAAGTTATCAAGGACGAACATGTGCAGAGAGATTCAGGCAATGTGCACCCATTACTATACTGAGACCACAACAGAACATTTTCCATTTCTCTTTCAACAGCAAAACTAAAACAACGACTGATTAGGGTTTCATACTCAGGCCTGAAACTGCAGTCTGATAGACTCAAGTCAGTTAAGTCAAGTTTGAACTTTATAATTTTGGAAGAGAGGGAATGTGCTAATGCATTTTGAATAAAGGAGAAATCTTCTCTTTCCCGGTCAGTTGAACAAGTGAAATTGAAGCTATCAATTAAAGTTGGGAGACGCGCCACGTTGGAGAAACTAGACAAGTTCTGAATGCATCCTTTGTTGGGAGAAGTGAGAGAATTTGGAGGAGTAGATCTGGCAACTTACTGATTCTTTGTGGTGCTTCTTCCTCTGTTACCTTTTGCTTCTTCAGATTTGTCATCTCCTTCGGCAAAAGAGGGGAGATTGATTGATTGGTTTGTTTGTGTTTATCTCAGCAATAAAATGCTTTGACAGATCAATATTACCTACCACACATATATATACTATCTTAAAAGACAAAGATCTTCAGAATTTAAATTTAAAAGACAAAGATCTTCAGAATTTAAATTTAAAAGACAAAGATCTTCAGAATTTAAATTTAAAAGACAAAGATCTTCAGAATTTAAATTTAAAAGACAAAGATCTTCAGAATTTAAATTTAAAAGTTAAATTACTTAAATGTCCCTCTTATAAAAACAGGCGCTGCTTCAGCAAAAGACGCATTTTTAGAAGAAGAGTTGCCACCGTTTTTTGAAAAGTCGTAATCTTCTGGAGACAGAAGAGTTCATTGCTCAACATTGAAAGCATGAATGGAGTGAGGATTTTACTTTTTAAAGAGATTAGTTAGTAATAGTTAATTCATGCTTTGATTACTTGTTTTTCGGGTTGTCCTAATTTAGATATGAGAGGAGTAGCATACAAAAAAGTTTAATTTGGTCGGAGCAGAGTGGAGACACTTAACATAGACATGGATACTTTCAGATTTGTTGGTTCTGAAGTTTTTGTGTGCCAGGCACTTCTACTTTGAAATCAATTTCCATTAGGCTAATCTGCAGTTGGTCCTGATAATATTCTGTCTCCAATTTGTTCCTGGTGCCAATTTGAGTCAAATTATTTGGCACAAAGGGTACCCGACCCCGGGAATGTTAAGATTGTCGACTCTTCTTGGTGTGTTTGAAGGATCATTTCAAACATGGTTATGACAAACTTCTCAAAATTTCAGAGTGCAACTGTTTTGGAGAAGTTCATTATCATATCAAAGACAAGAAAGTGCGAGAGTTGTTCAATGAACTGTACCCTTGTCACGTACCAAATGTTATGCTATTGATATTTTCTTGAAATGTTGTGTTTTGCTACCCTACCCTGCTTTCTCAATAGCATTAAAGTCTTATGATTATATTGATGCCGAAAAACTCTGAATTCACATTATATTTCTTTCCAGGAAAGGTGAATTGAGAAAGAAGAATGCAATGGAAAAAACACATGATCAACTGGTCTGTACAAACATTTCACAGCATTCCGTCAAATCTGAAAAGATAACGAATTTTATGATCTAGATGTTGTACATTTCTCCCTTTTGAGAGAAAACTGCTCAGTACTATCTGAATTTGTACTAAAGTTTCCCTGTCTTAGATATCCGTAGCACGACTCCATTTTTGTTGGGACTACTACTCATGAAACAGCACACGTTATTGAAATATTTACTCATGAAATGGTACACCTAAATATGGATATATTAGAGTTCAGTAAAAATGATGTATATTATTAAGTTGCCATTTCTAAACAAAACCACAAACAACACTTCTGATTTTGCCATTTATTAAAGCATATATTAGATTTGCTGTGCTAATTGATTAGAGGGCAGGTGAGGCATTGTGTCGTCAAACAGAAAGAACTTTGCTCTTCCATTTCTTAGTAGGAGTGCTACTATGTTAGGAGGACATTTCGTGCAAGAAATAGGTTTGAGTTAGTGCACTAGGTAGGTTGTTTTATTAGTTAGCTCAATGGGTATCAGAAATAGGTTCTTTAAAACCAGGAAAAAACAAAATAGAAAGAGGCCAGGAAATACAAAACTTGAAATCCAATGTTGCAAATCAATAGTTATATCCTTTGGCCAAACATACATACTCAAAGTCGCTGCAAAGCCGATAAAATTGGAACAGAGGAATAAATGAAGTCGCTGCAGAGCCGATAAAACTGGAAACAGAGGAATAAGTGCATACCTACGGCTACTTATGGAACTTGTGTTGCACAAAGATAGTAATAAACAATGTTTTTATAGCAGAAGTATTCAGTACAGAAATGGTCCTATCAATGAATTAAGAACATCAATGAAAACCTCTTGAATATGAAATTTCCATATGTTCAATGGATGACCACTACTGAGGTTTACTACCAAACTGTTTGAATTAGTATTAAAATTGCAGTGCCTCCTTTTTGAACTTTGTATGTGATCCCTAAAATGGAAAAAGTATCACACACTGCCATTTCCAAATAAAACTTTTTCGCACAACATATATCAAGAGAGCTGTTGTTCCAAAAATTTCATCACAACGTTTTGTAAGCTGTCCCAGCCAACTAACATATGCCCGAAGAAAAAGATAGATCTAATCATATGACTTTGACTTCAAGTAAAAATATTTAATAGCACAATCACAGACCTTGATGCTACTGACAAAGAAAAAGTTGCAGAGCATAACATTTCATGCGGCTAATTATCATAAAAGAATGTGACTTGCAAATCGCTCATCTTAATAGATCCAGGAAAATAAGAGTCACAAGAGAATCTCAACATCAATATAACAAAAAAAAAGCTTCATAAGAAACCAATATACCATAACATTTGGTATGCCACAAGGGTAAATCCAATAGTAAAACTAGTAATTAGTTACAAACTTAATATAAGGCGACGTTTCTAGTATCTTGAGACAGGAAACTACCAGTAATGAAGTCATGAAAAACTCACTCCTGGAATATAATCACAGAATTGGTGGACGATCTTGGACAATCTAACAATTTGAAAGCCAATAGAAATAAATATTTGGATAGACAGTTCCCTGAACATGTCTCACACCTGCTTCTCTTTGATATGATAATGAACTTCTCCAAAACGGATGCATTGACTAACAGAAATTTTGAAAGTTTGAATAGCTTCTTAAAGCCCCATTTGACATGATACTTCAAGCATATCTTCGATGAGATGACAATCTTAACATTCTTGAGGTTGTGAAACTCAAGGCTTGAAACACAATTCTGCAAATCCATATTATCTCCTTTGGCCAAATCACGTAACTCAGAGTTGCAGCGTGAATTGTCAACATAGTTGCAAATATCATCTAACTGGAGACAAAATATAATCAGGACCAAATGCAAGTCAGCTTAAATGAAATTGCACAACTCTGAAAAAAAATGTAACATCCGGCAATTTGAAATAGCTAAGAAGAGGCTTAGAATTTGAAAATTTTCAATTTTGGAAAGGATTTAAAAATCTGGAAAATTTGGCTAAGTATGGAAATCAGTGATTTTTGGCCAACTTTGAGCAGTCATAACTTCTAGCTCAGGATGAGTTAGGAGTAGTTCCAGTTATGGTTGTGAAGCTTGTGGAATGATCTTTCCAACGCCACCGAGTTTGCTCAATTCCGAGTTCGTATGAGCGAGTTATGGCCCTTTGAAAGTTGGGCAGTTGACAAGGAAATCCGTCCGGGAATCATTAAGGGCATTTTGGTCTTTTCCCTAGCTATTTCTTTTGAGGATATA